GGATGGCTATTGAACATAAGGTAGTGAGAATTCTTCTTTAGGAATGGAGGAGGTGGCCATTGAGGGCCCTTCTAACTGAACACTGTCATTCTATGAATTTTGAGCAGAATGAAAAGATAAGGAAGATAAGAATTGTCTTTTTTGTTTTCTGGTTCAGATGATTCATTTGTTTCCCCGCCTGACTGAACAGCTTAGTAATTCTCACCTCACCTCTTTTTCCTTGGCATACAGTATTTTCCAGTGGAAACTTTGAAAGGACATTCCAGAAATCATATGACACATTATCCATTATGATTTATGAACATTTTAAAAACATTGTTTCCCAGTCTCCTTTTTGGAGTATGCAGATGTGCCAAGGACTAGGCTGAAGTTCTCCTTCCTCTTGTTCTAGGTTGATCAGGAACCCCATGACAGTTATTCTGTAACTGTCCCATTTCTTCCACAGTGTCTTTTTAGATTAACCCTAACCCTGGCTTCCTTTTTTAGAATTAGTCAAGTTATTCTGGGTCCTTCTTTGGTCTCATCCATTGACTTAGGGATTTTAATTTTTAAAATGTGCACATGTGCCGTTTCCTGTGCCAAGGTTGCTTTGGTTATGTCCTTCGTCATTTGTCTACTTAATAATAGTTAATAAAAGTAGCTAACATTTATATGGGCAGCTAGGTGGCACCATAGTGCAAAGAGCATTGGGCCTGGGGTCAAGAAGACTCATCTTCCTGAGTTCAAATCCAGCCTGAGACACTAGCTGTGTGACCCTGGATAAGTCATTTAACCCTGTTTGCCTCAGTTTCCTCATCTGTAAAATGAGCTGGAGAAGGAAATGGCAAATATCTGGCATCTTTGCCAGAAAATCCCAAATGGTTGGACATGACTGAAAAAGGACTGAACAACAACAGTAACAGCAACATTTATATAGCACTTACTAGGTAGCAGGCACTGTACTTTACAGTTATTACCTCATTTCATCCTCACAACAACCCTAGGTGCTATTATGATCTCCATTTTGTGGTTAAGGAAACTGAGGCAGATAGAGGTTAAATGACTTGCCCAGGGTCACACAGCTAGAAAATATCTGTGGATTCAAACTTGGGTCCTCCTGACTGTAGGCCCAGTGCTCTATCCACTGTGCCCCCTAGTTGGTCGTTTTCTATTAAGTCAGTAGTATGCACCATGTATTCTGTTTCTTTTGGTAACTTCCTTCAGCATGAGATTGTGGGACAGGGAGTAGTCCTTGGTCTGAAACTTATTAGCTAGGAACACTTGGGCAAGTCCCTTCATGTTTCTCAGCCTCAGTTTCCCCATTGGTAAAATGAGAGATTGGACCAGGCAGCCTCTGAAGTTTCTTCCAGGTCTAGGTATATCCTCCCCTCAATTTAGCTGTGACTCAGGGTAGACACAGAACAAAGGACCTTTTAACCCTTTTAAAATTAATTAATGAATTAATTTTTAGTTTCCAACATTCGCTTTTATAAGATTTTGAGTTCTAAACTCCACCTCCCTCCCTGAGATGGCATGCAATCTGATATAGGCTCTACGAGTTCAATCATATTAAACATATTTCCACATTAGTCATTTTGTGAAAGAAGAATCAGAATAAAAGGGAAAAACCACGAGAAAGAGAAAACAAAAAAAGATAGCAAATAGTCTGCTTTGATCTGCATTCAGACTCCAGAGTCCTTTCTCTGGATGTGGACAGCACTTTCCATCATGAGTCCCTTGGAATTTTAACCCTTTTTTTGGTGTGTTTGTATCACAGATTCCTTTTGTAATTCTGGTTTCACCAGAAACCTATGAGACCCCTTTTCAGAATTAAAAAAAATCCAAAATTGTAGGCAGTGTTAAATTTCAGTTAGAGGTTAATAAAAATAAAGCTGCATTTTTTTCCTGTCCAAGTTCATGGGTCCCTGGCATCTATCTACCCGCAGGTTTTTGGGGACAAGACAAGGTAAGGTAAGGCTAGACAAGTAGGTTGGGATCAGATTGGCTATGTCATGGGCTTTATTTGTGTGAGGGAATGAAAGGATCAGAGCTGTCAGGATGGCAGGTACAAGAATAGATGAATGGGGAGGTCACACGGGCAGATGGTAACCAGGGCCTACATTGGAGCTCTGGCAATGAGGCTGAAGGGAGAAACATGGTGGAGGTGGAATCCAAAGGCCTTGGGGACTGATTGGAGTTGGGGGTGAAGAAGAGGGAGAAGTCAAGATGACTCAGGGTTTCAAGCTGGGGTTTCTGCAAAAATGTAAAAGGGAAAACCCCAAGGATTAGTTTGGCAGGGAGAGAAGGGAAATGATGAGCTCCCATTGGACACATGGAGCTTGATAAATGTTCATGGTCATCGATCTAGGGTTGAAGACCTTAGAGGTCATCAAATCTAATTTGTTTTATTTATTTACATTTTTTCTTCTGCCTTTGAAGATCACATAAAACTGGCATTTCCATAAACGCAATAGAAGAGAAAAAAAGACCTGAAACTCCAGGTCTCATTGGATACAAGTTGCTTTTTAAAAAAATGTGTTACAAATTCGACACATCACTTTAAAGCTGTCCCCTTTGCATTTCCTTCTCTTTGGTGTAATTTTTTTTTTTAAAGATGCTCTGCTAGTCCTCTTTTCTTTGTTTTTTAATTTTCTACTTCACCCTTATCTCTCTTTTTCCTCCACTCCACTGACAACTGGAATGCAAAAGAACAAAGCCCTTATAAAAAATATGAAAAGTCAAGCAAAATCAATTCTTACATTGCCCATAACTAAAAATGTATGCTTTATTCTGTGTCTTGGGTCCATCACTTTTCTGTCAGTAATGAGGTGGCTTGCTTAGTCATCAGTCTTCTTAGAACTGTGACTGGCCATTGTACTGATTAGAGTTCTTAAATCTTGACAATTCATTTTACAGATGGGGAAACTGAGGCTGAGAGAGATTCAGTGACTTGCTCAGGATCACAGAGGTAGTAAGTGGTGGAACAGGAAGGGAGCTGAGGACCTCTGACTTGAAATACATTGCTGTGTTGAATGGGAATTGAGCTGCTCTTGATCACATCCAGGTTGAGATCTCAGCTCATAGCTTATGAGCTAGAAGGCACCTGAGAGGTCACCTGTTCCAACTCTTTCATTTGACTGGATCCAAGGTGGCCAAATGATCTGCCCGTGTTGATATGGGCAGTAAGTGTCAGAGGCACAATTTGAACACACTTCCACCGAGATGTCCAGAATCCATGTAGGAATACAGATCTGGAGTCTGGGAAAGAAGTGAGGATTAGAGATGGAGATTTGGGCATCATTCCCATAGAGAAAATTGTGGAATCCATCAGAGTGGCTGAGATCTTTGAGGAAAGGAGAAAACCTAGAGAATGAGAAGAGGGCAGGGGACATGTTATGGGGAATGGTGGACAAATTGTAACCCAAGAGATTGGCCTTGTATCTCCTGAACACTCAGTTTGGAAATACCCTCTAGGAAACAGCTTTTCTCGGTTCATCTTAGTCTGACTGTGGAGAGACACATATCTTTCCTGAATGACATTAAAGCGTTCCTTATGATTCAACCATACTCTTCCAAAGCACAGTTAGTATTTGCAACAAAACCTGCTAACATAGCCACAGTGAGCATTTTTGTAGATTGCTTTAAGCTTTGCAAAGCTCTTCTCATACAATAACCTTGAGAAGTGGGGGGTACTCATATTGTTGACCCCTTTTTACAGAAACATATACTGAGGCTTTGAGAGGTGAGGTCACCCAGCTTATGTGAATGTTTGAGGTGAGATTGGAACATGGTGTCCTCCCAAATCTCTCAGGTCCCTAGAAATCTCCCAAATCCCTGCAACTCCAATACTCTTTCCACAGCTGACATCCTTCTGAGAGGAGAAGGGGGAGTGATTCTCAGTCACCTTGTGTTTGCCTTCCTGCTCCCTCAGAAGTATCCCTGAGCATTTTACTCTTCAAGGCCCTTGACTGTGGATGAAACCTCTCCCATTTGCTTAGGAGGGAACAGGGTTTTTGTGCTACTTGATTCTCGTTATTTTTTTTTAATGGAAAACTCAGACAAAAACTGAAGCACACTTTATTTGAAGCCAGAATATTTGAATGAATTCTATAAACCAATACTGTTGGTCACCAAAACAGGAAGACATAGAAATTGATATGCAGTGTAGAAAGGCAATACTTATTGCTGACATAATTGGTAAGGATATCAGTTTCTCTCTCTTGTTGGTTGCCTGTAAAAATAAGCTTATAAAAGGAGAGTTCACATTTTATTTATTGTTTATTAAGTTCAGAGTCTTTTAAAAACAATTAAAACATAAAAACAGAGCTAGGCCCAGGCTTCTGGACCAGTGTTTACTAAACTGGTCCTTAATCTTGCAGAACTGACTGTGTTACAAAGGGAGAGAACCAGAGACTCAGGTGAGATGTTTTGTGGCAGACAGAGCAGGGTAACTTTAGGGAATCTGGTTACCTGGGTAGGATTCTCATTATTTTTGCTATTAAGTTGTTTTTCAGTCAAGTCGGACTCTTCATGGCTCCATTTGGAACCCTCTTGGCAAAGATACTGGAGTGGTTTGTCATTTCCTTCTCTAACTCATTTTACAGATGAGGAAACTGAGGCAAAGAGGGTTAAGTGACTTGCCCAGGGCCACACAGCTAGCATATGTCTGAGGCTGGATTTGAACTCAGCAAGATGAATCATCCTGATTCCAACCCCAGCGCTATCCACTAGACTGTCTAGCTGCCTATTTTCAACTAATATATTATTTACAATGTCTTCTGTCTTACTTAAATGATTTTGTCATAGGAGAAAAGAAGTTTTTTTCTTTAGGTCCTCTTTACAGTCTATAATCCCAAATAATAATGAAAACAAAATAATTGGAATAAACAGTCCTGTGTTTTATTGTAACCTTGATCAAACAACCATCTTTTTAAAAACCTTTGATGCTTATTTTTCCAAAGAATGCTTTTAAAATGTTTTTTCTTTTCTTCTCCCACCCCCACCCCCACCTTTTTTGGCAGCTACAACAATATTTGAAATGGGAAAGGACAAGTTGAATCCAAATGAATTTGCCATAGCACTGGACGAGGCCCTTGGTGACTTTGCATTTCCAGATGAATTTGTCTTTGATGTATGGGGCGCCATTGGTGATGCCAAGCAAGGGCGATTACAGTGAGACCAAATACTTTTCTTCAGAAAGCTTATATTAGTAGAAGCTCCAACTATCATTTCTTGGAACGAGATCAACAACATCTATGTACAATGAGATTTCTAATGCTATTGTGAACTCTGGTTGGATTGGATGTATATATTTGTGACATTTATTCCTAATGAAAAAGTAAAAAAAACCCCCACTGTATTGGCTTCTGGGTAATTTTTACATAACTGGTACTTGTTAAAAATTTTTGCTAAATACCACCTGGTAGTCATTATCAATTGAAATGTCAGCCCAGTGTGCTTATGGATGTAAGTTTGAGGCCCATTTCTGGGTGGACGAGCTTCCCCCACTCTATACTCTCGGCTTCCATATTTTCCACAGTGGACATACAGCTTTTTACTCTTGCTATGTAACTCTTATGCAGAATTTTAAACTGTGCAAGGAAATTTTTGGGCTCAAATTTCGGGATTTTTCTTTTTAGCATGCTAATCACTTCTTTTCCTATTTTTAGGTAAACCTAAGAGATATTCTGGGGATAAAAGAGGCTCCCCAAAGGCTCCCAGGAGTCAGGCACATTGCTTTTGAGTTACTGGGGGATATGAAGAAAGCCGCTCATCTCTCTGGACCCTTTTTGTCCTGTCTCAACCAGAGAAATGTCCTTTTCTGCTCTTTCTTCTTCACAGGTGCTCTTGCATATTTCAATTGAATCCATTGATCATGTGAACATCGCTTATGTAGGGTTTTTTTTTGTTATTTGCTGATTAATAATAGCTAACATTTATATAGTGCTTGCTATGTGCCAGGTGCTTTATGATTATTATCTCATTTAATTCTCACAAGCACCCTGGAGGTGGGTGCTATTATTACCCTCCTTTACAGATAAGGAGACTGAGGCAAGCAGAAGTAGTGTCTGAGATCAGATTTGAGCTGAGGTCTTTCTGAGTGGATAGAGCCCTGGGCTTGGAGTCTGGAAGACTCATCTTCCTGAGTTAAAATCTGGCCTCAGACGTGTACCAGCTGTGTGACCCTGGCCAAGTTGCTTAACTAGTTTGCCTCAGTTTCCTCACCTGTAAAATGAACAGGAGAAGGAAATGGCAAACCACTCCAGTATCTTTGCCAAGAAAACCCCAAATGGGATCATGGAGAGTCAGACTGGGCTGGAAAACAACTGAACTGAAACTTCTGACTCCAGGCCCAGTGCACTATCTACTGGGCTATTGAGCTGCATGATTAGTGTGGGAGGGGGACTGAGAAGAAGAAGTACAAGTAGGGAGAAATATTCATTTATGCCATGGGCATTTAAGCAACAACATTTCTCGAAACACTCCAGTTGTGGGTTTATGTTCTTTGCAATATCTTTGTATTTGAGATATTTACTCGAAACCAAGTGACACTTGAGATCATTTTTTCTGTTCTTGGAGATGGGGTGTAACTTATTAACCGTAGGGAACTGAGTCACTGCCTCCAGACAGATCATTTTGGAAGTGAAGAAATGGTAGAAAATGGAGCATTATCTAATGTGTTACTTAATGACCCTAAAGCTTTAACACAGTGGTTTCAAAGTCTCATGCTGTTGAGGAGATTAGGGTTAAATGACTGCCCTGTGAAGCTTACTGGACATTTCACACATGGGAGATAGAAGGCAAATGCATGGTTTTGGCAGAGATGACTTAATAAGTCAGAGCATAATGTCCACGGATGGTTCTCTCTAAGCTGTGGGGGAAAGATCTTCTCTGCTATTACAATCCTCAGGAACAACAACCTGTAAGGAACAAATCAAGAACCACTCCTTTCCCAGGCTGTGTTATTGTCCACATAGACCTGTTGTTTTCCTTAGAAATGTCAGCCTTTCAGATTGGGAAAGGGGTAATCAGAAGGAAGTACTTCTGAGGAGGGACAGGGTCAAAAGAAAGAATAGAATAAATGGGGAGGCAGGATAGGATTAAGGGAAATAGAGTTAGTTTGTCACAACATGTCTACTATGGAAGTGTTTTACATAACTGCACATGTACGGCCTGTATTGACTTACTTGCCTTTTCAATGAGGGTGGGTGGGGTGGGAGGAAGGGAGAAAATTTGGAACTCAAAGTTTTAAAAACACATGTTTAAAAAAAATGTTTCCACTGCAACTGGGAAATAAGAGATATAGGAAATGAGGTACAGAAATCTATCCTGCCCTACAGGAAAATAGAAGGGGAAGGGGATAAGAGAAGCGGGGCAGGGAGAGATAGAAGGGACGGCAGACTAGGGGAAGGGGTATTTAGAATGCATGCCATCTTGGAGTGGGGGGGAGGGGCAAGATGGGGTAAAAATTTGAAATTCAAAATTTTGTGGAAGTAAATATTGAAAACTAAAAATAAATAAATTTATATTAAAAAAAAAGAAACATCAGCCTTTGATGAGCACCTACATGGGCTTAATCATCTGAATCGAGCCAAGTTTGATGGCATCTGAACCCAAATCGAAGTGGTGGTTCAAGAGTCCCTGGTGTATAATCAGAGTAGCTTAGAAAATGTTGAATTTCTGATTGCCATGAGAGGGAATTTCACAAGAATGCAGCTACCCCAAATTCCATTAGTTGGAAGTCTTAGCCCTTTAATAGGAGTTTTCAAAATACCAACTCACATTAGCCTTAAGCCTTCCTCTTCATGGTGGATAAGAGATATATCTTATGGAGATGCCAAACAGAGGATTCTTAGGGATGGGCTAATTCAGGGACCACTTAGTGTTCAAGCAAGAGTTGAGAGCAGTTTCTCACTACGGCAGCCTCACTTTTCTCATTTATGCCCATTCCTTTAACATGACCAGCTCTTTCTTAAAAGGCATTCTGCAATTTCATTTGATACCAGATATAAATTTAGACATTTACAAGCCATTATTTGTTATTCATGAACGTGAGACTTCCCCCCCTCCCATCCCAATTTGGGTGCCTAGATGCAAACACTCTTAACACACACGTTATTGCCATTTTCTTTAAGCCAAGATGGCCATTCTGCAAAAACAAACTGTTAAGGAGGGAGGCAGATACCTGAAGAGGGCAGCTTTAAAGGAGATGGAGTGGTCTTTGTTGAACACCAAGTTTATGTAGAGTACATGCTTAAGATGTTTGTCGAGCAGAATTTGGGTTTTAAGTCTTCATGCCCATGTTCCAATCAGGAATTTTTCCCCCAGTGAATTCCTTTTCATTATTGCTTATGGATATTACCTGAGTTTAAGGCCTTGTTGTGCTGACAGAAGTTAAAAAAGACTCAGCCAAGATTCTTAACATTTTATTTTGGCCTTTGATAAACAATTGAATAAGTGTTATTCAATCTTAGTGCTCAAAGGGATCTCGGAGGTGATCTAGTTTAACACTAATTTCTTTTAAAACATTGTATATGTTTTTCATTTTCACTCGCATAGACATTTCCAACCCCATGACTTCCACCCTGAACTGGCCCTCGTAACAAAGAAAATCAGTCAAACGAGACTGATGACCGAAGCGATGAGAGCCGTCGGCATCCTTGGTATTTTGTCATCATGTTCACCTGTTTCTTTATCGAAATTGGGCCCAAGATTGGTCATGAAAATGAACCTGAATGCACCTGCCTTTTGGGGTTGTTCTCCTTTGCATTGTGGTCACTTGTACATTGTTTTCCTGGCTCCGCTGACTCCCCTTTTTGTTACTTCATACCCATCTTCCTGCATTTCTCTGAATTCCTTTCAGTCATCCTTTGTTATTGCACAAAAAACATCTCCTTCTAGTAACAATCCATTATTTACCAACAGTTTTTTTTATTGATGAGTTAGAGACTCTTTTCCCTCCATCTGGATGTTTAAAGATTAGTTCTCTTAACACATGCATCATTCCTTTTTTCTTTGGAAGGCATTGCATCACAGGTTTTTTCCATCTATATGTATGTTTAATCATTCTCTAATCAACACACACCCATCTTATTTTCAATTCTCTGCTACCACAGATAGCACTGCCAGGAATACTTTGCTATATGTGGCAGGGGCCTTTCCTTTTCTGCTTTGTCCTCCCTGAGGTATGTGTCCAGTGGTGGCATTGCTAGGTCAAAGAGTCTGAGCCAACTTAGTGGCATTTTCCCACACAATTCCAGTTTATTTTCAGAATGGTTGGATCAGTTTGCAGCTCTACCACAAGTGTATCAGTATGCCTGCCTCCTTTATGGGGACTTCATGCAGAGGGTGATTACTTGTTTGTGCAGAAGAGAAAGATGGAAGGCCAAAGCTTGATGCTTGACTCGTATTGACTAGTGGGCTGCAAGCTAGTTTCACTCCTTTTGAAGGCATACAATCTTGCTGGCACCACTGAACATTTGTGGAGGATCCTTCTGTTTGCTGTCATATCAGGAGATGGTTTTCTAATCTAATCAAGGATGAGGTATTTTGATTTGATTTCCTCTGGGAAATGAATGCTTAGGTAATGTTTATTTTCTTATTGTCAAATGTCTGCATACTTGAATATCTCTTTTGCAAAAGAATTTTGGTTGTCCTGAATACGTCATCTACATTTCTGATGATTATAAATGGTCAATCATTGAGTTTGTGGTCAATTCCAAGACCCAAATTCTATAGTAAAAACTGTTCCCAGAATCAGTTACAGAAGGCTTAGCCAGTATGCAATGTACCCAATGAGCCAAACCACACTGGAGAGATGAGGAGCTCATTTCTCCCCAGTGCTCCAACTTGGAACATTTCCCTCATCACTGCAACAAACAAATGTTTGCCCAGCAGGGATAAGCTATTTTTTCCCTTTTAGTGCCAGAGGGAGGTTTCATCAAGTCTGGGGAGAGACACTCTGGTCTTTACCAGTCACTTACTCCACCCTAACAAAGAAATCCAATTAATTTCTTTTGTAAAAGAAGTTTCCTAAAGGACAATGGCTCTATTAAGTGGATTTGTCCTGTCACCCAAAGATCTCAACACTCATGATGCAGTGTCTCTCAGTTCTACCCCACATTTATCCTTAAAAGCACATTGATGTCTGCTGAAGGTACTGGGTCAAGAGAGCCATTAGGAGGTGACAGGGACAGGCTATGGAATTCTAACCTCTGGAGCATGGAGCTTCCTTCTCCTCTTGTCACAGGCTGAAGGAGCTGTCCTAACTACTGCCCATCTCATGCTAACAGAATGTTTCTGGGAACCTGGACTGGACAAAATGTCACACATCATCCTTGTCCCAAGTACCCAAAAGCT